TGTTTCTGATATGTTTCTGTCCATTTTACTGTGCTGCTCTAGGAGGTGATTTCTCGTTTAACACGTCTGCTGCTGCGCTGTGTCTTTTCTGCATTAACTCTTGTCTTAACCCTTTAATCTATGCCATATTTTATCCCTGGTTTAGAAAAGCGGTTAAACACATTGTGACACTGAAGATATTCCAGCCTGGCTCCAGTAAGGTCAATATACTGTAGAAAAATATAAAACTTTGTGTAAGTAAATAAAACCTTCTTCCACATGTTAAAAGTCCTCGAAGCATTTATTTATAATATGAATTGAAAACCAGTCCAGTAAAAAGCATTTACCCACTTGGATGGCTTTCCTTTTTTATTGTTTTTACAAATCATAATAATAATAATGATCAACAAAATTGGGCTTTAAACTTTGTTTTTCCAAAATTTCTCTTTCAAGTTAAAGTGAAAACCAATTTCAACAATTTTACATGAAATAAGTGACTGCATGAATAGAGACACATCACGACAGCATGATTCTGACACAGGGGCGCCGGCGGGAATCACGGGCTCCATGACAAAAAATTAAACTGGGTCCCCGCTTCGCAGCTGCTTTTACAATTTCTTGAGTCTATCTGACCAATCAAAAGCATCACAAGTTTAAAGGCTTGCAACTGCCTTGCTTTCTTTGGTCCAATACTGACAGTAGCACAATATTTACTGCTAGTGAATTTTACATGAAACAGTCCACATACTGCATGCAATTAGGTTGCTTACATTTTTTATTATTAGCTTAATCTGATTGAAATGACTCTTCCCACCAGAAACAGTCACAAGCAATGTGAAAAATACGCATAAAGAAATCCCGACTTCTCAAAAAATGCTATGTAGTTGAATTTTATTCAAGCTGCAGTATGTAATTTTAATAAAATATATATATATATATTTTCTCCATATTTGTTAAAGCTGTCACCATGTTGTGACAGTTTGCTATGAGACAGATAATCAGGGAAAAGATAAATCTCCTCCACCTCCTTCCTGAACTACTATTACTGGCTAAAGTCATGGACAGTTACGATCAAAAAACAACCAATCAGAACCAGGAGGAGGGTCTTAGCACTGTCAATCAACCTCACTCATTGCTGTGCTAATGGTGGAGAAACAACATATCATTACAGGAAGCCGTTTAGCTGCTGTCATTGGTAACTATGCTAACTATGCTGAGCATTCATGACAGTTTTAACAAATATGTAAAAAATATGTTTTATAAAAGTGACATACTGCAGCTTTAATTTCACTTAGGAGAGGACGGGTCAGGAGGGATGTGGGCTTGAGCTGCTGCTGACTGCCTCATCTGTTGCTAAGTGTGGTAAAAGGTACAAGGGACAAGTTAAATATATGAATATCTTGGTAATTTTTTCCCTTAATTCATTAAATGCTAGAGAAAAGGAGGCAAACAGAAGTCTGCAGCTAAGCTAACTATGCTAAATATTTAATAATCTCACACAGTCTACTCACCTCTCTTGGAGAAATACTGTTACAAATTGACACAACAAAGGGGCGGAGAAGGTGCAAGCTTTGTGGAAAATGTACTCACATCATGTGTGAAGCATGCAAACATCCTCTGTGTGTCATTCTGGACAGGAACTGCCACAAGGACTTCCACAGCTCCAGCAGTCATGCTAAAAAAATAATGTCCTTGTTCTGATCATGGCATTTTGTCATGATCAGAAATGTAAAACGTTTTTTGTGCAAGCGTGATTTGTGCAAACAATGAACAATATACAGTGAATGACCTCATTTTAATGTTTGTCTTTTCCACTTTTACTGTTAATGCACAATGTGCAATGTTCTTTAGGCACATATTTATTATGATTTCACTGATAAGATTTGTATTTTTTTATTTTATAAAATTGGCTGTAACTTTAAAACTAAGCTTTGCAAAAACTCCAAATAAATTGTGTTTGGTTTAGAAGGTTTGTGTGCAACTGTTTTGTATTGACAGTTTTGAGAAATAAAGTTATGAAACTTTTTATATTTACAAAAAATATGTCAAATAATTATAAAACAAATAATTTTTTGTGATTTTTTTGCACATTTAAGCATTTTATTTAGTTGTTATGGATTAATGGGATACACACTTAGAAAATAAGGATCATAAGGATTTTATTGATGTAAAGAACATTGAAATACTCCAAATAATGGCTCTGCAGCATCCAAAAATGTAAAAATAAGCTCATGCGGACCTTTATAATGGTAGGAATAAAGTTAAGTATGGTGCATAAAGCTCTTTCTTAACCATAGCACTAGAAGATGGTATGCTGAAATGACGAGCTATGTCCCACAGGTCTTATATCCCACAGTTGTCCAACTGACTAATGGAAGGATTAGCCACAAAAGTAGCCAAGACAAAGGATGCCATGTTAAGAGGACAATCTACTTAGAAACCCCACTTTCCCTCAAAAAATGAAAGCTTGTGCTGGGACAGCCAAAATGAACAAAGGACAGGAGACCACACAGACAAATCTGCTCATAGGACTGTTGGATCTGGTAAATCTCCCTCTACCCTACCACACCAATGACTCGCTTACCTTACAAAATAAAATAAACAAAGCTGTGAAAATTGGGACAACTGAACCCACTACAAAACAAATGAAAAAAGACAAAAACAAAAAAAACCTCAAGTTTGCTACAACAAAAAGATCTCCCGGACGAGCCCCCAATTGTTACATCCCAAAGACAGTTGAGGAGTATGGGGGGAATGAAGAAGTAAAACCAGGAGGGTATAGTTAATGATTTATTTAAAAACAATCCAGGAAGAATCTTGAGTGTGGAGGGGAAAATCTAGGAGAGACCATGAACCTTGGATCTTCATAAGCAAGGTCCCATTCAGCTACAAGCACTATTTTTCCATCTGTTCACGTGACGTTGCCAAGTGGAAGTTGCTATGGATGAGGTAGGTAGGGAGGAGCTGTTGTTGTGATCGGTTTGCCAGAAAGAAATAAAGTGACATAAAGAGGAGCTACAATCACAGAGCTGTCTCGGCTCTGATCTTTCATGGTCTCTGATGATGGAGGTTCATGATGAAGAACTTTGCTTTCCACAACTCAACACCTCCTGTAGAAAACCAGCAGTTCCATGGCTCAAAGCTGTGTTTCTGCAGTCTGTTCTCTCTTTCAGCTGTGTGTTTTCTGTGTCTCTCAATCTACTTGTTATCATTTCAGTCTCCCATTTCAGGCAAGGGAACATATATTTTCCTGTATGTGATGATGATGATTTTCCTAGCAGCAAAGAAGAATAAACTGTGTCATATTTTTATTTATTAAATTAAACATTGCATACAAACTGTAGATTGATATTAGCTTTGCTTGGACACTTTTATATGTTTCAGTGCTTTTGTTTATTATTCTGTTTTCCTCCCCAGGCAGCTTCACAAAACCACCAACTTCCTGCTTCTGTCTCTGGCCATATCAGACTTCTTGGTGGGCCTTGTTGTTTTTCCAGGTGAAGGTAGCAGACGAACCACTTGCTGGTTTCTTGGTGATGTTATGTGTTTACTGTACATACATATTATCAGTATGATTACCTGTGTCTCTGTTATAAATATCATACTGATATCTGCTGACCGCTATGTAGCTATATGTTACCCTCTGCATTATCACAGGAGAATCACTGTGGCAAGAATACGACTGTGCATCAGTCTGTGCTGGATTTATTCAGCTTGCTACAGCATTACATTTGTGAAGGATGGCTTCAGTGGAAAAAAGGCTTCTTGTCATGGAGAGTGTTTGTTTTTAATTGACTTCAGTGCCGCAGTTTTAGATCTTATTGTAGCTTTTATCACTCCAGTTACGGCCATCATAGTTCTCTACAGCAGAGTGTTTGTAGTGGCCGTTTTTCAGGCTCGAGCCATCCGCTCCACTGTTACAGCTGTGTCCCTGCAGCGTTCAGCAACAGTAGGAAAATCTGAGCTGAAAGCAGCCAGGACTCTTGGTATTTTAGTCATTGTGTTTCTGATATGTTTCTGTCCATTTTACTGTGCTGCTCTAGGAGGTGATTTCTCGTTTAACACGTCTGCTGCTGCGCTGTGTCTTTTCTGCATTAACTCTTGTCTTAATCCTTTAATCTATGCCATATTTTATCCCTGGTTTAGAAAAGCAATTAAACACATTGTGACACTGAAGATATTCCAGCCTGGCTCCAGTAAGGCCAATATACTGTAGAAAAATATTCAACTGTGTAAGTAAATAAAACCTTCTTCCACGTGTTAAAAGTTCTCGAAGCATTTATTTAATAATATCTTTTGAAAACCAGTCCAATAAAAAGTATTCACCCACTTGGGTTTTGGGCGGCTTGATTTTTTTAAAATTGCCTTTACTAATAATTAATGATCAACGAAATAAATCAAAGTTACCAAGTCTGGGCACCACCTAATTATCAGGAAAGTAATAACCAAATAGTTCAGTCTCAGTTATTGTTTATAAGTACAAGTTCCTGATAAGGCTCAAGTTTTTTAAATAATAGAGGAAGGTACAAGTCCAACACTGACATTAACTGATGAATTATGCAATGATGTCACAGTTCAGTATGAAATGTAAATGTTGAGAAACCAGATTTTTTTTCTTGGGATATTCGGAGCACGTTAGTTTAAACTAATTCAGATTTATTTACACAGCAACACCAGAAATATGCAACAAATACAACATTATAATATTCTATAGTAATATCTATTAACTAGTATGAATGCTCAAAATAACTTACAATTGGTCTGGCAGAGCATTCTACATCTGACAAAAACTATGAGGTTACGCTGACCCCCTACTGGTGGATGAACCCAATCTCTCTCTCTTTTCGTTTAAGATTAGAGGTGAGATGGTCACAAAGCCCTACAACTCTGCCATTGTCACAATCCTCCAGCCCGACCCTTCAGGAACACCAAAAACGTTGGGTATTCGAGACAGCACAGCCAAAGAAATCACCTGGGCCAAAAGGATGGTACTGAAAGCTTGTGCTTACCGGCTGGCAGAGATTCTCAATGTTTCTGTGGCACAATGAACTGTCCGTCCCTGTCTTAAGTCAGCAAGTATCATCTCAACCAGAGATAGATAAATCATCCAATGATGCCATCACCACTGCCCTCCATGTAGCACTGACTCACCTAGAACAACAGGGGGAATTATGTATGAATGCTCTTCCTGGACTACTCCTCTACTTTTAACACAATAACTCCACTGATTCTTGTTGACAAAATGTATTCTTTGAAGATATTCCTATCCACCTTTGAACTGATCAGAAAATCCCTCACTGATCGTCCTCAAACCACCAGAGTTCGGCCCCTCTGCTCCTCCACACTAAAAGCTTAGTACAGGTTCACCACAGGGAAGTGTGCCGAGCCCCCTTCTCTACTGCCTGTACATACGTTATACTGCAACCTACTCACTCCTTCAACACCATCATACAATTTGCTGATGACACTACTGTCATTGGACTTGGTACAGGGATGAAATTCATCCCTGTGGATTAATTTCACAGGGATGAATTTCCACAGGGAAATTCCACAATGGTGTGGAAGAAACAACCTACAGTTAAACACAACAAAAACAAACAAATGGTGACAAACTTGTGGAAGAACTACACAGGCTCTTCTCTGAGCCTGTGTAGAAAGGGTTCAGACCTTCAAGTTCTTTGGTGTCAACATTTCAGAAGACTTAATCTTATCAGAAAACACGTCAGTGGTGAACAAGACCCAATACCACTTGTAATAACATTGACTAAAAACAATAAATAAAAAACAACAACATCTGAATCAACAGCTGTAGGTGTCCAGCTTCACACCACTATCGATTTGGTTCTGGCATACTGCAGAACCAACCGACTTGTTAGTGTTGTGATATAAGGACACCAGCAGCTGCTCTGCTTAATCTTGTTCTGCTGAAAAATGACCGTGCAATGACAATAAACCTAATCTACTCTAAGATACTTAAGACCTGAGTAATTGGTTGGCTTGGCTGATAGAACACGTGTACAATGTACAATGGTTATATTCCTCAACCGGGTTGTCCTGGGTTTGATAACAGGGCTCAGGCCTTTTGCTCTTCCCCCTCTCACACACCAATGGGGAAAAATCAACTGAAAAAGAGATTAAATAGTTAAATTTCTTTGTTGGTGTTTCTCTTCACCTTATTTACTGTCAACTTACTGTTCAATAAAGATAGCTGGTGCTGTTTTCTTAAAATCATTTAAAAAAAAGATTAAAAAAACCCCAACCTTTTAACATTTTTAACAATGATTCAGTGCTTAATCATTTAATGATTCATTTAATCATCAAGGATTTAATGATTAAACATTGAACATCTGATTCAATATTTAAAAATGAGACTCAAAAATAAAGTCAACGTTATGTGTAAATTCTAGTTTTTCTCTATTTTATATTTAAAAAAAATACACATACATAAAATAAATACAAAATAAATTCAAGCAGAAGAAACACTATTCCAAGTCATGGTTCAGCAGACAGAAAATAACACTTGAACAATGTTTGTGAATAAACAAAATGACTCTCACAAACAGGTGTGTGTTAGTGTTTCGTGCATTGTTGATTAAAACAAATTAATTTAGTAATGTAGCATAGTAGCAGTATTCAGGAATTTTAATCAACTAAATTGCGATGCTATATATTAATATTACTCAAGAGAAAGTTCAATATGGATGTTATTGTCATTTTAATGAACTCAACTCATATTAGGGCTGTGAGTGGATGAAGAAAAGTAAACACTGTAAGGTTAAAACACGGAGTTAAGTTTTATTTTCAGATAAGAGCACAAATGTTAAAAATACAAACATGGTGCAATTTTTTTTAGCAACGTTTACATAAGATCAGTTTTACAAACAATAAGAAAATGAACAAGTATTGCCCATGCTTTGAGCTCATGCAGCAGATGAAATACATCTGTTAACCTACATAAAATAACTTACACAAGGGTAAATGACAATTGCTTTACTTGGAGTTGCAACGTTTCCATGCAAAAATAGGGTCTGCAGATGCTTGGTTCCTGTCATTTGAGCTGGGCTTAAACTCATTCATGTAGAAAATTGCACTTAATTTGTGAACAAAGAGTTGAGAGGTTATGTGAAAAAGTGGAAAAGGTTTTATTTACTTCCTCAAAGTTTTATATTTGTCTACATTATGTTAGCCTTACTGGAGCCAGGCTGGAATATCTTCAGTGTCACAATGTGTTTAATTGCTTTTCTAAACCAGGGATAAAACATGGCATAAATCAAAGGATTAAGACAAGAGCTAATGCAGAAAAAACACAGCACAGCAACAGACGTGTTAAACGAGACATCACCTCCTAGAGCAGCACAGTAAAATGGACAGAAACATATCAGAAACACAATGACTAAAATACCAAGAGTCCTGGCTGCTTTCAGCTCAGATTTTCCTACTGTTGCTGAACGCTGCAGGGACACAGCTGTAACAGTGGAGCGGATGGCTCGAGCCTGAAAAACGGCCACTACAAACACTCTGCTGTAGAGAACTATGATGACTGTAACTGGGACTGTAAAGGTTACAATAAGATCTAAAACTGCGGCACCGAAATCGATGAAAAACAAACACTCTCCATGACAAGAAGCCTGTTTTGCACTTATGCCATCCTTCACAAATGTAATGCAGTATAAAGCTGAATAAATCCAGCACAGACTGATGCACAGTCGTATTCTTGCCACAGTGATTCTCCTGTGATAATGCAGAGGGTAACATATAGCTACATAGCGGTCAACAGATATCAGTACGATATTTCCAACTGAGGCACAGGAAATCATACTGACAATATGTATGTACAGTAAACACATAACATCACCAAGAAGCCAGCAGGATGTTAGTCTGACAGCTTCACCCGGACAGAGAACAAAGCCTACCAAGAAGTCTGATATGGCCAGAGACAGCAGCAGGAAGTTGGTGGTTTTGTGAAGCTGCCTGGGGAAAGAAAACAGAATAATTCAACAGGAATAAACTGGAAGTGGGTTTTTAAATGAACAAGCATAATTACTACAAGACGACAGTCTTGCAGTTTTGTATGACATGCAAAATGTTTAAAATACAATCATCTGGCGGTGAAGGTTTTCAATGAAAGTGAGCTTTTCTTTGCCTGAAATGGGAGACTGAAATGATAACAAGCAGATTGAGTGTCACAGTGAGCACACTGATGAAAAAGAGCAGAAACACAAGCGGGTTCCTTGACATTTTTGGCTTCCTACACGAAGTGTTGTAGAGCTGTGGAAAGCAGAGTTCTTCTACGTCATATACCTCCATCATCAAAGACCCTAAAAGATAAATGACTGTGGCGGCTCTCTGATCATAACTCCTTTCTGCATCCTTTTTTTATCTCTGTATGGCACACATACACAACAACTGGCCTCTGTGGTCCTTCGCCCTGCCCACTTCACACATCTCAACTCACACTTAGCAACCAATGTTGTTTTTCACTCGAGTCTCCTTTTGTTTTCCGGTTAGTCTTCAATTTTACGGTTCAGTTTCAACCTGTTACTAGCTGAAAAGCATTCAGTTGTTCACAAGGAAACTTTATCCTGATCTTGCACGGCCCGGTACCAATTGGTCCACGGACTGGTACCGGTACCGGTCTGTGGACCGGGGGTTGGGGACCACTGCCAGCCATAAAAGATCCCATTGAGAAAAATGTGACCAGATCACAAACGTTGACAGAGAAAAGGCTACACTCAGCTAGCAGAAAGGTGCCATTCAGTGTGGGACAGTTGGTGTTGAGGCAAAATGTAAGAAGTCAACAAAGAAAAGGGGATAAGCTACATAATCACATTTGTTCTCTGAGCGAGTGGTTTTATATCAATAGGATAATATTTGGGGGAACATAGTTAGGGCATGCGGATATTGGCAGGCTAATAATTTGCTATGCCAATAAATGCATTCCCCTACTAATATGGTTATTTCCTTCAAAGAGGGAAATAACCTTTTCTACATAATCACACTTGTTCTATGATCTACTGGTTTAAGTTTCATATCTATAAGACATTTGACAGGCGATGCAGATATTGGCAGGCTCAGAAATTTAAATGTATCCCCTCCTATATTAATATACTAGACAGTTAAGGGTGATATAAAATGTTCTACGTATTAGGGCTTGTTTTCTCATGCATTAAGCTATTATGGTGTTAAAAAAAAAGTGGGGAATTGTAAACCATTAGTGGAGAACATATTCTTCAGACACTGACTGTAAAACATTCGACTCATATGTCTCAATAAAGGTGTCAAAACCATATTTCAATTCATCTGCAAATTAAAATCCACTGTTTAAGGGCTTACTTTATCAAGAAACATGATAATGTTACCAACATCTTTAAAAGTTGCCTCTTCGGTCATATTTCAGTCTGTTTTATCATCAATATGCGACACTTTAGAGTGAAAGACGTTCCCGCGACAGGCTTGCATTTCTCGGCAAAACCCCCGTCTTGGTATCCAGACCGGTCTCGAGACCACTTTTTGATGGTCTCGGTCTCGCCTCGGACTCGACCACATTTGGCCGGTCTTGTCTCGGGCATTGAGGACTCGGAACCACAACTTCGGAAATGTCACTAAACTTACAGCATACTGTCCAGCTTATTTGTTAACATATTCACAAGATGCAAAACATACCGATTAAATTCCAAGTAATAACGTGACTTACTTCTTGCATGTTTCTTATTCCTCTCTATCTCCTGCCTTTCACTCACACGTGGCGCTCTGAGACATACGCAGTGGTTTCCTCTCAACGAGAGAAGATGTCTGTCTGATCATCAGTAATAGAGTTGCGCTACATAAATCATAAGAAATCCGATGGCAAAAGCTAACTCAGCAGCGCTTCGCATTCATAGGCGGTGGGGACAACGTCTAACTT